ATGATTAAGAAAACAGACCTTGGTAGGGAGGGATAAGGGCAGGGAAGAAGAAAGGGGGTATTATGATTAGCATGTATAATGTGGGGGGTGGGGGAAAGGGGAGGCTTTGCAACACAGAGAAGACAAGTAGTGACTCTACAACATCTTACTATGCTGATGGACAGTGACTGTGATGGGGTTTGTAGGGGGAACTTGGGGTAGGGGAGAGCCTAGTAAACATAATGTTCTTCATAAATAAATAAATAAAAGAAAACAGACCTTGATGAAGTATGACTGAATATTGTTGGAGGATTGATGAGAAAAAATACACGGTTTTGATCTCTTGGTGGTGTTGTCTGAATATGGAATATTGCCCAGAAAGTCAACAAGAGGGAAAGGAAGAAGGAAATGGACATGGTCCTACTTCCCCGGGCATTTTGGGTTTTCCTCAGGTCATCCCTCCAAAATTCAGTGAGGGGGAGGGACATCATTTATCATTATTGTTTCCATTTTGAAGATGAGAAAACTGAGGCTAAAAGAGATTAAGAAATTTGCCCAAGGTAAATGACAGAGACGAGGGTTTAAACTCAGACCAGTCTGACACCAGTCTCTGCTTTTTGTCCCAGTAGCAGGAGTTGTCAGCCGGGGGCTGTAGTGGGAGTGGCAGACTCAGACCTGGGGGTGGGGTGTGCATTGTCAGAGCATACTCAGATGCTGAGGTGACCAACTGGAACCAATTTTTTCCAGAGGCCCCCCTAAAGGCTGCCTGGTGAGTCGCTGGCACGGTGAGGAAACAGACCTAACGTTTAGGGGCCTTTGCTGGGTGAATGACACATGCCTTGTCATCTTGCCTTAATTTGTGTGCAAAGAGATGAAGGGGAACTAATGAGCAATCTTAGACCTCTCTATTGAAAGTAAGCTCAATTTCCAAGTTTGTTACAAAGACTGGCTGGAAATATATAAGAAATCTAGGAACATGCTAAATATGAATAAAAATTTTCAAGAATTCTACCACTAGTCACATGATTTCTAGGAAGATACCAAATAATGGTGTGTATCTGATAAGGAGGAGCAGCTCTGAGACAGTGAAGCGAACTAGATTTGCAAGTTCTACTGCTGCCTGGGCGAGAAGAGCTCACAGGCTATCTAACTATTCCACGGTTGGTTTCTTCACCTGTAAAAAGACAGTCATGCCCCGCTTACAGGTGGTTGGGAGAGTCACAAAATCTGGAGAGAACACAGTGAAACCCACAGTCCAGCCAGATCTAAACAGTCTTGCAAAAACTGTGGGAAGCTCCTGTATGGCTTTTCTTGCAGGTGTGTTCACTAACAAAACAGTCATTATAAGAATAAGATATAATAAAAAGATGTAATAAAACAGCATTTATAGATTTTAAGGTTTTTAAAATTGAGATAAATATGTAACAACTATGTATGTATACATGACTTAAAATCAGATAATGCCAGAGTAGCACCCAGTTCACAAATATTTGAGGGATGCCTCTTAGCTGGGCTCCCTTCAAGCTCTATCTGGCATGTGAAATGCATGCATTTGCTGCCATGCTGATGCTCCTTCCCTCTGCATATATATTTTCCTTTCAATATTTGGCTTAGTGGTATATACACTTTTGAGTCTTTTAGCAAATGATCATTAACATTGTTCTATGTTATTAAATATGTTTCACATATTACTTTATTGGCCGCAGAGCATTCTTATCATCTCAATGTGCATGATTATTTAACTAGTCCCATAATTTTTTAGCTTTGTTTTTTTCATTATCAAAATTAACCTATGACAAACATTCTTACATAAAAATGTTGTACACACCTCTGAAAAATTGCTTAGGATAAATTCTTACAAGTAGAATGTCTGGGTCAAAGGGCATGGATGACCTTAAGGTTTTTGATAGGCATTGCCAAACCAGTTTACACTCTTCTCATTGGTTATTAAGGGCTTCCATTTTTCCTTGTGTTCACTAATACGGGCTTTTGTCACTTATAAAAGTCCTTACCAATCTGAGAGACAGCAAGTGGTAGAAAATATCGAATATAGTTTTCTGTTTTGAAAAGTTCAGTATATGGAATATAAGCGAGTGTGGACCAGCCTAAGTTGTGCTTCTGAATGTCAGATTTCTGCATACTACTCGGCAGAGGAGGTCTGATGAGTCGCAGCATGAAGATCGTGTATAAAGAAAGCTTGTTGCCTCAGAACAAGTGAGTTTATGAGTTAGGAGCGAAGAGGCTTGGATTCTGGTTCTAGACAGCCATCTTTCCTTAGGTAAGTGTTATATTCTTAGTAATTTACTTTAATTGCCTCCGAAGAGCCTGTAGGATGCTTACCTACATGTAAAAGTTGACATGAGTCTGTGCCCTTAGGATCCTCCCTTGGAGGTCGTCATGTCAAGCAGTTCAAATCCGTACCAGAGGGCTGATTAGTATAACAAATGTCCAAAATAATTTTGCACTGATGAAATGGATGACGTGCCAGATATGTGGCTGATAAGTAAGACTGCACGAGTGTCTCTCTGCCTTTTTTTGAGCAGAGTGAAAAATGAGCTTGATAACATAACATTTCTGGAGTAGCGCCTTGTCTGGAATTCCATTTGTTCTGGAATCCTCCACTTAACCAAGGATTTAGTTGCTTGATCTGGCTAAAGGGTAGCTGTTATATCATTACAAGAAGGGTGCACTTGCCCCAGAGAGAAACGTTTCTGTGCAGGATCCTGCGGAGTGCCCAGGTGGACAGTGAGGGGAACTCCACTGACCTGGAATCGTGTTTTGCACTCCTGCGGTGTCAGTTTGGTGATGCATGTCTTTATTGCAGCAGAACTCAATCTGAGACTTGCTTTCATTGTAACGTAGCATCAGGTGTACAGTTGTAAGGAAGGAGACCTAGCACTTCCAGCTTAACCTCTCTGAAACTTTTTGCTCAGCTGTATGAGTTGCAGGAGATGGACTTGCCAATCAGCTCTGAAAGTTCTAGATTATCTGGTATAAGGAACAGAGCCTTAGATTCTGACCACCTGGCATCTTCATTTCATAGAAAGGAAATATTAGTTATAATATGTAACATTAATTTTAATGTTACTTAATAGAAAAGGAATGAAAAGGAAAATTGAAGTGCAGAGAAATGAAGTAACTTGGTGAGGCCTATCTTGCTGTAAAATTCATGCTCTTTCTACTGTAATACTTGATGTCACTCTGTTATGGACTGAATTGTGTCCTCGCATAATGCCTGTGTTGAAGCCCTAAACCCCAAGGTGACTGTATTTGGGGATAGGGCCCTTGAATAGGTAATTAAGGTTAAATGAGGTCATAAAGGTGGGGCTTTAATCCAATGTGACTGGTGTCCTTATGAGAAGAGAGAGATGCCAGGGGTGCATGTGCACAGAAGAAAGACCATGTGAGGACACAGTGAGAAGGCTGCCGTTTGCAAGCCAAGGAGAGAGGCCAAAGGAGAAACCAAACCTGTTGACAGTGACAAGATCACTTGGATGTCCAGCCTCCAGAACTGTGAGAAATAAATTTCTGTTATTTAAGCCCCCAGTCTGCAGTATTTTGTTACAGCAGCCATAGTGACTGCTACACCCTCCATGGAGATGGGGCAGAAAGATGCTTCAGAGGACAATTTCTGTGAGGCTCATGCTCAGGAAAACCAAAAGTGGAAGGCTAAGGGATTTCCCACAATTTTGTGAGATTTTTGAGTTTTATAACTGACACATATACTCTCTTCTCATCTCCGGTAGTGTTTAGAACAGAATCTAAGTGAAAAGTACCCTTTCATACATTCCAAAAGTATTTATTGAGGATCTGCTTCCTGGTGGACAGGGTGCAGGTGGAATGGTGTAAAAAGTGTCTACCTTCTGAGAGGTCAGTTATCTTTCAGGCATCACGGGGGCTGAGTTGCTGGAGAGAAGGGAGGGGGAAGGGCCTCAGGAGATTAGAGGGTGGTGGGGGAGGCAGCCTGAGAAGGAGAGAAGCTGGCTGAAGCCTGGGCCTGTGGGAAAGGGGAAAGCAGTGAGGAGGCCTAAGAAGGTGTAGCAGTCCAAAGGCTGAGGGACCCAGAACACCGCCAAGACTAGGGCAGTGGCCAAAGAAGACACATCCAGGACCTCTGGGTGGGTGGAAATAGGGGAAAGCCAACTGATGAAGGGAGGCCCCAAAGCCAGTTTCCCCTTGGCAGAGCCTGCCTGAACGTCATTTCAACCTTGCGCAGTAATGCTCTAGAGGGAGGGGCCTAGAACTAGGATGGCAAGGGGTTTCTCTGCACCGTCTCCTTACCCGTCCTTTCCCTGTAGCCCTCATCTAAGTATAGAAAGAGTTTGGGTTGTTGCTGAAGTTGGTGGAAGTTTTGTCATCTCAGTTAACTGTTACCTAGTTTCATTATAGTTTGAAAAACATGAGCTACATCAGGTAAGCTTCAAGGCCTTCCTCATCAGGACCAGTGGTTGACCTGCCACAAAATCAGCATAGAACTTAAGTGCAGACCATAACCATGGAAATGAGAGTTTCTTCAGATAAGCCAAAATGCTCATAGAAGTCAAGTGGCAACAGATCCATTACCAAGAAGTGTCTGGTGCAGCGACACCCTCATGCATCCAACACAGCGTAACGGTACTCTTCCTGGCCCTGTCCATGTAGCTGTCACTCTCAGTGAGAAAAGTGTCCACTCATCCTGTCTGCCCTGTAGACAGGAAAGGAGGCAGAGAATCTCTCTCCTCAGAGATCTTCAAGAGACAGATCGCCATTTGGGTTTGGGTGATTTTAACATCAATTGCCTTGATGGATACTTAAGATTCCTTCCAGCACTTTGATTTGTGGCCCTGGTCGCTAAGGAAAATGTTCACTGATGCACAGGCCTCACTTCTGCTTTGATGTGATACCAGATTGCAAAGCTATAGCTGATGTTGGACACACAGCCTTATGTGCCTACCACAGCGAGTCTTCAAAATCCCAAACCTCAATATAGCTGTTAGTATTGAAATCGATTTTCATTCATATCACCTTCTATTCAATAACAGGTGATATTTAGATGGTGGAAGATCTCTCTGAGGAGTGAGCATCGATCAACAAAACCTGGAGAAGTAAAAGAAACTCATCAAGACTTCCAAGGGAATTCATATCTTCAAAGTAAGGAAGGAGGCATGTTATATACTTACTGCTGTGAAATTATCTTAATCAGTGATGGATTTTGTCAAGAAGTATCAAATATATCCTTGGAAATAATGATATGTAATTAGGGACTTTATTAGATATAATAGATGTAATAGAACATTGTGTTCTTAAAAACCAGAAAATTATTAACATATACTGAAATTTCTTCAGGGAAAAAAATCTTTCAGTTGTTTAACATTCCAGGTTAACATGTGGATTCCCTTAGTAACCTTAAATAATGTAAATATAATTTCTTGCTATAATAATTTAAATGGGTTTCCTTTAAAGATAACTTAGCAGGTTATTTGAAAACATAACCAAATTAGCAAATCCTTGAACTCTTATGCATTTTGATATTCTTTAAAATCATGACCATTTCTTTTGATATCAAGGTTTGCTTAAGAAATGATTTTCATTAAGTAGCACTTGGACTTAATAGAAATTGTCCACCAGTTTCCCCTTTGCTTTTTTCCCCTCTCAATATGGAAATTTCAAACATAAAAAGTGGACAGAATGGTTCTTAACAAACTCCCAGGTACTCATAACCCAGCTTCAGCAATACTCAAAATGTGGCCAAAATCTATACACAGACCTACATTTCCCATTGGATTATTTTGAAGCAAATCTGTTACATCATTTCATCCTAAACTATTTCAGTATGTCTCCAAAAGGACTCCCTTTAACTAAACTCTTCAACAATTATTCCTTAATAATAAAATTTTAAAACTTAAAATGAAGACACTTTACAGATTTTTATTTTATTATGAGTAGTGAGACAATGTTATTAATATTAATATCAAGGACTTCCATATACCTGTTCTCATTCTATTATTACAATATCCTTGAAGTATTATCCCCATTTCACAAATGAGAATCAGAATGGATGCGACTTTCCAGGGTTCCACAGTTAACTACTGATTTTGCTAGGACCAATCATTGGAAGTTGAAAAATCAAGCAAATTAATCTTATTTTTTAAAGGCGCACTCTGGGTCAACACTCTTAAAAACATTCTATTATTTAAAATTATAGCATGTAACCATTGTTTTCATAGAGGGAGAGTGGGTTTTGTTTTGTTTTCTTTCCTTACCTCCTTAGAAGTCTGAACTGATTGCTTTCAATTCCTGATACTGCACACATCTTATTTTGTCAACTCCTTTATAGCAAGTACTTACAAAACTCATTACTGGCTTAAAAAGAACGACGCTGGGGAAAAACCGCCCATTTTCATTGAATAAAAGTCAGTCCAGACATGCCTTATTATTTCATTGTAGAATCGACATGTTTCTGAACAAACAGTTATAAACAGCTATAAGACACATTTTATTTTCAGTTTAGGATCCGTTTTATTTCCTAAGCCTTGTAATACCTATGTCAAAGTTGTATGTCTAGTAAGTGCTAAATATTCATTGGCAGACCGTGTGACTTCCAAATTGACTTCCATGAAAACCTAGCCAGAGGGATTGCACTTGATTGTGTTCTGATACAGGTTTTAGGGCCAAACCCTCACCTGTCTCTTGCTTGACTCCTGATAAGATATTGGGGGTGGAGGTGGGGGTGGGGCAACATTCACTTCAGAATAACCACTGTGGGTTTACTGATCCTGGAAAAATAGGCAGTCAAGTGGGGATTTATGGGTTCAACGGTGGTGTGACCCCTGTGGCTGGAGGAGTGTGGAGGGATTTTGTCAAGTACACCCAGCTGGGCTTTTTACATTGCAGTTTTGAGAGCTACAGTCTCAGGACTGCCTAGTGGCCTCCCTCTAGGAGCGGCATGGAGATACTGAATTAAATTATCTGGCAAATTCAAAGGCCTCCAGGTCTCACATTTCTACAGCACCAGGCAGACAGGAAATATCCAAACAATGCTGTTGTTTGTCCCCTCCTCCTTAGTCCTTAGGGAATCCCTCAGAAAGGTCTCTCTGCAGCAGTCGAGGGGTGCACTGCAATGCAGAGCAGGGCTGCAGGGCCACTGGCCAGGGCCTGAATCTCTGTGCTGCCTCTGCCCGGCTGTGTGACCACAAGCTGACCCTCAGGAATGGGGCCCATTTCCTTCTGGAACTTGGGGATAAAATGTGTTGGCTGTGCGCGGTCCATGACCCGGCACGTGTACGGTACATAATCACATCTTGATCACCATTTGCAGCTGTTAAGTGCATGACATTTGGCTGGATTTCTTTTTTTCTTGTCCCCCTTTTTCATATTCACAAGATCCCCACAGTTTTTCTCATCCAGAGGTCCTCTGCCCCTTAAATCCTGCATACCTGTGATGTGTCTCTAAAAATCGGAGTTACCTTTGGTGGCAGTCCTGGCAGAGGACCAGAACCACATGTCCCTTGCCTCCTTAACCTCTCAGCAGCACTTAGCTTGGGGTGACATCTTCTTCCTCTGGCTTCTGGGAGCACCTCCCTCTTGGTTCCCCGCCTGCCTCCTCACCATCTCTCTAAATCTAAGTGTTGGGGCCCTGGCTTCAGCTCTTGTCCTTTTCTCTTGTCTGTCTACACTTATTTCGTGGGGGATTGGATCCAACCTCTGGCTTAAATGCTACCCATAAATGGACATGTCTCAACTCTCCTTAAAAACTTCACAATCAGATATTTACCAGGCTGCCCCCTTAATATCTCCACTCTCAAACTTAACATATCAAAAAATAGCTCTGGTCTCCCGGCCCTGCCACCCAAAAAGAACCAAAAATCCTAAAGTTATCCTTAATTCCTTTCTTCCCATCACATGTTAGAATTAATCCATCAATAAAACTGGGCTCTGAACTGTGGTGGGCAGCCTCCGAGATGTCTCCCAAAGATGCCTCCTATTTTCCACATCCACACTCTTGTGCACGCCCCTCACACTGGGCCTGAGTCAGTCTGTGTGGCCAATAGAATTTGGCAGAAGTAATGTCTCTCTCTCTTCACTTGCTCTGGGGATAGCCAACAACTCTGTCTTGTGGCAGCCCTGTGGAGAGGCCTCCACAGGTGAGGAACTGAGGCCTCCGGCCAAGGGCCATGGGCATGAACTTTCTTGAAAGAGGATCCTACAGACTCAGTGAAGGCCTCAGGTGACGCAAACCCAGGTGAAGTCTTGACTCTAACCTCCTGAGAGACAGACCCTGAGCCAGAACTACCCCTCTCTGCCACTTACAGATGCCTGAACCTCAGAAACTGTGAGATAATAAATTGTTTTAAGCCGGTCCATTTCGGGATGATTTGTTATGCCACAACAGATAACTGATACACAAAGGCTTCTCACCAGTTACAGCTGTTGTCCAACCAGCAATAAACCTCTTCCCAGATTATTGAACTAGCCTTTCTAGCTAGTCTCACCCTTCCCATCCTTGCCCCACAGTATTTTGTTCTCAGCAAAGCAGGCAGAATCAGCCTTTCAAAACATATATCAGGTCACATTGCTCTGCTCTTCAAACCCTCCAATGGCTTCCTGTCTCACAAGAGGTAAGAACCGAGTCTTGCAGGGATCTTCAGCGTCTCTCCCCTCTTGCCTGCTCTACTGCAGGCACACTGGCCTCCCTGGGGTTTATTGCACAAACCAGACAGTCTCCCAGCTCAGGACCTCTGCACTTGCTTTTCCCTTTGTTAAGAATTTTCCCAGATGGCCTCATGATTTGCTACTCATTCAGGTCTCTAATGAAATTTTCTTATTAGAGAATGTTTCCCTGACCACTATATAGAAAATCACTACCTCTTCCCTTCCCCTAGAATACTGTATCTCCCGTACCACATGATAGACTGTTATTTGTTTATTTATTGTCTGTCTCCATCACTAGAATGTGAGCTCTATTATGGTAGAGACTTTGTTTTGCATACTGTTGGGGTTTTAGTGCCCACCTGGAACAACACCTGGTACATAGGTCAACAAATGCTTGTTGTATGAAATATGTGAGAGAACTCTTAGAAGGTAGGACAAAGGTAAACTCTAAAATCTAGATTCTTCTAAATTATGTCTGGTCCTAACAGAGTTCAAGTTTCTGATCAATAATTTATTCCAGGGGGGAAAATCTTGCATCATGATCAAAATCATGCTATCAGACTGATAATTTTAAGATGGTTTTTCAAGCTCAGGGACCATGTCTTCTTAATCATTCTATTTCTAAGATCAGACACATGGTAGGCTCTTAGTCTATGTTTGTTAAAATAAATGAACGAAGACCTACAGTTTCTGATAAAGCAATATTGTTAAAAAAAAACATAAAAAAGCACTGAATTTGCATGACTAAGTTCAAATAACAGCACAAGGAGTAAATTTTAGAACTTAGTAGTATTTTTCTACTTGGGGTAGTTATAAGTAACACTAAAGAAATAAACCATATCAATTTGCATTAGTTTGCTAAGGCTGCCATAACAAAATACCACAGACTGGATGGCTTCAACAACATAAATTTATATTCTCACGTTCTGGAGGCTAGTTCAAGATCCAGGCGCTGCCAGTTGGTTTCTTCTAAGGCCTCTCCTCGGCTTGCAGAGGGCTACTTCACTGCGTGCCGTTGTGGCTTTTCCTGTGTGTGTGCACGTCCCAGGTGTCTCTCCATGTGTCCAAATTTCTAACTATGAGAATATCAGATTGGATTAGAGCCCACACCCTAAGTTAACCAAATTACCTCCTTAAAGGCCCTATCTCCCAATACAGTCACACTCAAAGGTACTGGGATTTAGGATTTCAACATATGGATATGGGGAAGGTGGGGAGGGCAGTGTTCAGCCCATAGCAAAATCCATACTTTCCATGTAAAGAATTTCCTGTAATCTTGTAAGCAGAGTATCTTTATTAAGTTTGTAACTAATGATTGTAGTGGTTGCTTATTGATGCCGTAACAAATTGCTGTAAATATAGTGGCTTAAATAATAAAAACATACTATCTTACATTATGGAGTTCCAAAGTCTCACTGGGTTAAAATTAAGCCATTGGTAGGACTCCGTTCCTTCTGGGGGCTTGAGGGGAGAATCGGTTTCCTCGCCTTTTCCAAGCC